TTATGCAATTAGAGTTTTTGGAGAGCTTTTGAAATCAAGCTAGCAAATACATTTTAAAGTTTTTGACTTGTTCCGTCCTCATCACATATGAAGGCTTAATTATGTTTGCTATCATCCAGATGCTCTTTTGTAGATCTCTGTGAATGATTCTTTCCTGACATACATGAAATCATAGGGAAAATATGCTTTTTGGTGGATAAGCCAATCACGAAATTGTAACATCTTTTACTAATCACCTATGGATACAGCAAAAAAAAAAAAAAAAAAATCTTAATGTCAGACTGGATTGTGCATAAAAGGCTCCAGGAGGGATACAATATGCCTATGATTTGTACATATTTATTAATTCCAGCATACAAAAGAATACCTTCAAAATGTATGCCAAAAAAGATGAAAAATTACCAAGCCATCTTTTTACTGGGAAAAAGACTCCAAGAATATGGAAGAATATATAATAATTTGATTTTAAACACACATGGAATGAGAGATAACTACATCAACAGTTTGATTCTACCCTCCTCTTTTATTAATTCCAGGGAACAATATAAATAATTAACTCAACATATACTGCTTGCCAGTACAAGAAATAATAGATTGAACATTCTATATTTCTCACTATTAAGGATTACTGTTTGTTCATTGGTTAGATTTTCAGCTGAATTTGATTTCCGGACATATGATTCAGAAGGCATTATACTGTATGCAGAATCTCTTGATCACTCAGCTTGGTTCCTGATTGCACTTCGTGATGGAAAGATTGAAATTCAATTTAAAAATGATGAAACAACCAAAATCACCACTGGAGGCAAAGTTATTAATGATGGTCTATGGAATATGGTATGTTATCCAGGTTTCATAAAGAATCTTTCTGCCTTGTTGCAACTTGTATAAAATCATTAAAAGTTATTTTTATGGTGGTGGTGTTGTTAGGTGCTATTGAGTCAGTTCCAACTCATAGCAACCCTATGTATAATAGACCGAAACACTGTCCTATCCTGCGCCATCCTCACAGTCGTTGTTGTTTGAGTCCATTGTTGCAGCCACTGTGTCAATCCATCTCATTTAGGGTCTTCTACTTTTTTTCTGACCCTCTAATTTACCAAGCATGATGTCCTTCTCCAGGGACTGACCCCTCCTGATAACATGTCCAAAATACATAAGACATAGTCTCGCCATCCTTGCTTCTAAGGAGCATTCTGGCTGTACTTCTTCCAAGACAGATTTGTTCATTCTTCTGGTAGTCCAGGTTTCATAAAGGATCTTCTCACCTTGTTGCAATTTGTATAAAATCATTAAAATTTATTTTTATAGTGATACCAAAACCAAAGTGGATTTGGGCTTATCTGATGTTATATGAAATATATTGTACACACTGTATATCCCTGAAACAGCCAGAGTGATGATACACTCACTGAATATATTTAGGATTTCCCATAACTGTCTGACGTTGTTTTCAGTTATTTGCTTCAACTACTTAGTCATTCCCTTTTTTAGTGGCTGCTGTTGGGTGAACAGTGGTATCTCTTCTATAGGTCAGGGATTATTATTAGCAGGCATAACAGTTTATGCAAAGACAGCATTGACCAAGGAAAATTACACTGGATAGTCACCAGTATTTATAAAATGAAAGAGAAATATACATAGTAGCAAAACCAAAGTGTTGATTTAATTTTAAATATAAACATAAAGATAAATAATTTTATATATGCACCATACACTAAAAAAAGTCTCAAACCTATTGCTGTTGAGTCGATTCCAACTCACAGCATCCCTATAGGACAGAGTGGAACTCCCCCATAGGGGCTTCCAAGGTGTAATCTCTAAGGAAGCAGGCTGCCCCATCTTTCTCCTGTGGAGTCGCTGGTGGGTTAGAAACTCAAACTTTTTGGTTAGCAGCCAAGCGTTTAACCATTACACACGCCACCAAGGACGCTACACCCATTACCGTTGAGTTGATTCTGATTCATAGCGACCCTATAGGATAGAGTAGAACTTCCACATAGAGTTTCCAAGCAGCAGCTGGTGGATTTGAACTGCCAACCTCCTGGTTAATAGCCGAACTCTTAACCACTACACTATCAGGGTTCCTGTGGAACACCAAAACCAAACCCAAACCCATTGCCGTCAAGTCGATTCTGAGTCATAGTAACCCTATAAGACAAAGTAGAACTGCCCTATAGGGTTTCCAAGGAGCAGCTGGTGGATTTGAACTGCCAGCTTTTTGATTAGCAGCCTGAGCTCTTAACCACTTGTAGTAGTTTTTACGTGCCATCGAGTTGGTTCTGACTCACTAACCACCAGCTGGTATGTATTAGAGACTAGCATTTTTAGATAATCCACATAATAAGCCTTTATTTTAATAATTGGAAACAACACCTTAGTCAACTGCATTAAAATGAAACTTTTCTTGGAGAAGGGATTATTGCTAGTCCATAGTGAGTAGAAGGAACCCTGGTAGTGCAGTGCTGAAATGCTTGGCTGCTAGCCGAAAAGTCAGTGGTTTGAACCCAAGAGCTGCTTCTCAGGAGAAAGATGTGGCAGCAGGGCCAGATTTCCCAATAAGCAAGGTGCCCACGGGCCCAATTGTGCCTTCTCATCAACCTGCAGTGCACAATTTCACCTGTCCCCCATCACGTCAAAAATGTGGTGAAACCACTGATTAGCAAGTAAATTCAATTAAGCCCCTGTGTACCATGCTAAATGCAAGCCGGTGTATATCGTGTTTACTGGTTAATCCTCCCACTCCCACCCCGGTGTGGCAGGCTGCTTCTGTAAAAATTACAGCCATCTTGACTGTGAGTGGCC